GGACGTAGCATGGTATGTGGAGCGGTGCTTGACCTGGAGGAAGGTCAAGGCCGAACATCAGAGGTCACACAACAAGATGCAGTCGTTCGATATTCCCATGTGGAAATGGGAAGATATCACTATAGACTTCATCACCAAACTTCCCACGACTGCGCGATGAGTGGATTCCATATGGGTTATTGTGGATCGGCTGACCAAGAGTGCCCATTTTATACCGATCCGGGAGAGTATATCGGCCGAATTCGAGAGGTGGTGGCGCGGCATGGGGTGCCAGGATTAGTGATTTCTGACAGGGATGTGCGGTTTACTTCTAGGTTCTAGAAGAAATTCCACGACGAGCTGAGTACTCGTCTCCATTTTAGCACCGCATTTCACCTGTAGAAGGATGATCAGAGCGAGTGAACCATCCAGAATCTGGAGGATATGTTGCGGGCGTGTGTGCTAGACTTCGGTGGTAGCTGGGACACATACCTCCCATTGGCTTCATTCTCCTACAACAACAACTACCACGCGAGTATCGATCATCCTCCCTTTGAGATGTTATACGGGAGAAAGTGCAGGATCCCGATATGTTGGGGTGAGGTTGGCCAGAGTCACAAGGAGCATCGAAGTGGTGCTCAAGATGACAGAGAGGATTTAATAGGTCAGGAGCAGGCTCCAGACTGTATAGAGTCGACAAAAAAGCTATGTCGACAAGCGCCGTTCAGACCTGGAGTTCCAGGTCTAGGATATGGTTCTCCTGAAGTTGTCGCCTTGGAAAGGATTCATCTGGTTCATGAAGCGGGGCAAGTTGGGCCCCAGGTACACTGGACCTTTCAAGGTTATAGCCCGAGTGGGAAAAGTAGCTTATAGGATGGATCTGCCAGCCAAACCCAGCCAGATCCACAAGACTTTCCACGTCTCCCAGCTGCGAAAGTGCCTGGTGGACGACTCGACAGTGGTTCCCCTGGAGGATATTTAGGTTGACGAGAGCTTGAATTACATTGAGCGGACTATCGCAATGGTAGCACCAGAAGGGATCAGAGTGGACGTTGGATCCGGTGGACGAGATGATGGAGCATTACCCAGAGCTTTTCCAAGAACGAACAACAGACTTCGAGGATGAAGTCTAGAATCAGTAGGGGAGATTTGTAGCATCCGGTTCCTGGTATGTATTTCATTCAAGTATTTTTCGCAATTTGTACTAAGACTCAGCTAGTTAATGGCCCAACTCGTCGAGTAGTAGCGGTTTGGACTCGGGGGTTAAGTGGCAGACTCGTCGAGTCGGCGGCAAGACTCGACGAGTAGACTCTGGCTGGGAAAAACCCTACTCTGAGGGTTTTCACCCTATTTAAACAACCTTATATATCCTCCATCACCCCTTTATGCTCCTAGAACAATTCATACAGAACCCTAATCGTGTTGTGAAGATCTAAAGGCCTTTTTGGTGATTCTTGGTGGTTTGTGGTGACAAGAAGGAAGTAAAGCTTGAGGAACCAAGAGGTTGGCCAGAGGAGTCAAACTTGTGCATCATCTATAGTTCTTGGAAGGTATAAAGTCGACACCTTACTCCTTCTTATATTAGATCCATTTGTGGGGAGATTTAGGGCTTTTATAAGCCATTCTTGGTGACCAACCATGATTGCAAGCATGGTTTGGGGTTAACGCTTCAGATCCAGGCTCCTTAAGGAGTTAGAAAGCAGAAAGGGACTGTTTTTGCACCTATGGAAAGCCCCATGCAACTCAAGAGCTTCTTTTAGGGTCTTTTTAGCTTATAGTCCCATGCATGCACGTAAAGTTCATAACTTTACGTGCTAGATCAATCTTAGGAGCCTAGATCTATCATTTGGAAAGGTGTTGTACATCAGAAATCGAGAAATGAGACTTGGACAACCTCGACTCGGTGAGTTGTTCTTGGGACTCGGCGAGTCCGAGGCTTGACTCCCCTTTTCTGTTAAGGTTCAAAGGAACCCAGTTGAGTGTTAGAGAGGTTTTAGAGGGTCCAAGGGAGTGACCCAACGTATTGGACTTAGCCATAGGCCTGGAGTTCATAAGACTCAACGAGTGCACGAGCAGACTCAACGAGTACAAGGCAATCTCCCAACTTTTGAAGATGAACTCGATGAGTTGTTCGTACAACTTGGCGAGTCAAGGACATGACTTTTTTGTAGGACGAGGATGAACTCGACAAGTTTTTCATACAACTCGGCGGGTCGGATGAAGGTTTATTCGAGGTTGTTTTAGAAGGAGAACTCGTTGAGTCATTGCTAAACTCGACAAGTAGAAGTGTGGAGAAGGACAGATAAAGGGTAGGGACTCAACGAGTTGGAGGCCCAACTCGGTGAGTCAGGTCAACTTGAAGTTGACTTTGACTTGGTCAGGAGTAAAATAGAGATTTTACCCTAAGAGCAGTTATCAGTGTCTGACTAAGTGTTTTATGGGAATTATAGCCGTAGGATCACCAGAGCAGCAGTCGGACATCTGTTGATCAACTTTTCAGCAGTCATCCTTACGAGGTGAGTTACCTTCCAGTAGGAGTGGGTCTACGGAACCAATGCCAACCCACCAATAGGTAATTATGGGTGAGATGCTTATCTTTGTGATAATTGTCTTGTTGCTATATATGTGACGAGTATGCGTTAGTAGTAGTACGACGTGCTAGCCCATGGTTACCGGTTAAAAGATACCAAAGACGATTACCAATTAAAAGATACCGAAGGGGTGGACAAAACCCACACATGTATAGTTGTATGCTTATAATATGTCATTATGTGACTCAGTATGCCTATGTATGTTATCATGAAACCAATATGTTATAACATGTAATATGTAATAGGGATAGGGGTGAAATAGTCCCCAGATACCGGTTGAAAGATACCGAAGGGGAGGTTAGTTCCCGGATACCGATTGAAAGATACCGAAGGGGAGAGTAGCTCCCGGTTACCGGTTGAAAGATGCCTAAGGGGAGGATAGTTCCCAACTATCGGTTGAAAGATACCGAAGGGGAGGGTAGCTCCCGGTTACCGGTTGAAAGATACCGATGATTATGTGCTATGGGTATGGTGGGGGAACTCACTAAGATTTGTACTTACAGTTTCAGTTTTGGTTTCAAGTACGTCTTCGCCTAAGGGGAAGGAGCCGGTGGTGTAGCAGCGCATCACACACAGACACACACATGTTTTCCGCATGGAGTTTCCTGGGAGTGTCTCTGATTTATTTTACTTTGACAAAATGGTTTTTATGGTGACATGTTTTGGATTATTAACATAATGATTGTGACATGAGATATCATTATGAACGTTTTTATACCGATGGTTTTTTTGTTATAATTTATTTAAAAAAAACGAAATTTTTAGCCTTGAATTTTGGAAGTTACAGATAGGCATCGAAAAAAAATATGAAGTAAAGGGTAGTGAGGAATAACCTAGACGAAACTAACAACCTAAAAGGAAACCTAATTAACAAGATCAATAGAAAAATAAATAAGGAGTAAACATGCATGCAAAAACATAACAAAATGAAAAATAAAAGATGATACGGAAAATAAAGTAAACAACCTTAATTTTTTTTCTTTCTCTCTCTATCTCTCTCTTATATATATATATATATATATATATATATATATATATATATATATATATATATATATATATATATATATATATATATATATATATATTCATCTTTTTTTATGATCATAATCTGCACCGATGAAGCTCCAATGGAATCACTACCTAGACGAGCATCGTGATACCTTTCATATATCACAGACTCCCAAAGTCAGGAAGACTCGCTACGATGTAACCCAATAAACCGACCATAACTTTTATGTAAACTTTATTCTTTAGTTGGCCTTTGAGCAAAAATAACACAGTTCAGAATATCATGTCCTCAAGACTAGATAGTCAAAAACTAGAATTGACACATCTTTAAGAAACCGACATGGCCAAATTAGCTTTAACCGAAGCACTGGGCCAACCCACGTAGGAGCCTAGCTCAATTCTTTCACTTTTTCGAGAGTGAAAAATATCATATCACATAGTTCTTATTGTGTCATATTTGTCTTCATTATGCCTCTTGGTTTGATTGAATTTGAATTTTAAATATTTGCCTTTAGCTTGAGTTCTTTAATCAAAAATTTGAAATTCTTGAGATTTCTTCGATTAAGCGCTTGAACTTTGACTTGGGTACCGGAGAAGAAAGTGAAGCAACTTGCTCGCAAGCCACAAACTCCCACCCCAAGTGATGAGGAGGATTCTGAATCCAACATTGTCTCTGAGATTCGCATCGAACATCTAGTATAGCACGAACAACATGACACCGTTGCAACTTTGCAACCCCAAGTTTCGGAGCCAATACCTACAAACCCTGAGGTCACTTTTCACATGCCTACATCTATTCCAATTACAAATGATTTCTTTCAGGGGTTTACTCCTCCTCACTACCCCATTACTACTACTACTACTACTTGAATCACTATCACACCATTTCCAACTTTCTCTATGGTATTTTCGTAACCACAAGCCACCGTTACACAGTCGACTCCTTTGTTCATTGATTCTACAGCAACAACAATCACCATCGCCACTAGTTAACCTCCAGTTTTTGTTAACGCATCTGATACAAGGATAGGTGCTTCAGGTTTTACTCTTGATCAAGGTTCTAATCCTGTCTCACCTCTCTGACAAGATAATCCGAATACTATTTTCGGGGGTGATGAAGATTTTGAAGCTTTTGTTTATAGTCCTTTCACAATTCAAGAAGATAGTGATGCTGATGCTCTAGTTACCAAAGGAAAACTCAAGGCCATCAATGAGAAGTTGGATACCCTCTTTTAGTCTACCAAAGCATCCTCTGGTAGTGACTATTCGGAGGAAACAGTAAATGCATTCCTTGAAACATTAACCAAAGAGCACACTGCAAACCTTGACAAAACAAACAAGGAAGTTGATGACTCTGCTTCTGTTTGCAAGGAGACAACCGAAAAAGTCGATAAACTAATTTCTGGTGCTTAATCTTTTATGAGTACTTTCCATACTTCCTTTGATACGAACACTGTAAATGTGAATGTATTAATAGCTAGTCTTGGATCTACCCTTCGGAATAAGAAGGATGCTCTTGAGAACGTTCACACTAGAATTCAATTTGCCAATACAGAGTTTCAGACCTTTATCTCTTCCAAAATAGACAAGCTTTATGAAGATTTGGCTGTTGAGAACAAAATAATGGATAAGATTTCTGTCAAAATAGAGAATGTGAAAGTTTTATTGGTCAAGCTCGCTCATGCTAATCGGCGAATTGACGATCTTTTGTCTAAAAAAGATGCTATGAAGAGTTGCATTGCTGATGTGCATGCTTACTTGAACAATTTCAATGAGACTCGTGATACTCTAATCACAAAATCTGTAAGAAAGCATCTAGTTGATAAGCTTCGGCCTGTGTTCGCAATGCTAAACAGGATGGAAGGTGTTTCGGAATCTGGCACACTTCCGAAATAAGGGGGAGACACTGTGAAGCTGTCTACGAAAAAAAATCCTCACAACCAGCTGATACTACTAAAAAGACAAAGTCAAAAGTCAACCCAAAGGTTAATGTAGCTTTGGGTTCTAGAGGTAAGGAAAAGGTTATCCATGATAGTGAAGAGGATGAGCCTGACGAGCATGAGCAGAAATGAATGAAGAATCGTGAAGCTCAAATTGATGAACACAATCACATCATTAGAGAACCAGAAGAAAAAGAGAAAGCGCTTCGTGATTCTCAAATCACTCTAGAAGCTAAGAAGGCGTTATTTCCTCCTTGGTCAATAGAGCGAATTATAATGAAACAATTGACAAAGAAAGCATTCACTGGTTAGAGTTGGTCACCTTGTTCGATCTAGAGAACATATTGGATTCACAATTTGATTTTCCAATTACCCCAAAAGCTTTTCTGTTTTGTAGCTTTGATGTAATTTAAATGCTTCAGATTCGGATGAAGATGTTAACAATTCACTAATTGAATGTTATCTGACGCATAGTCAGCCTCAAAACCTTACTTGGAGCGCAATGAAAATAATATCTATAAAGGTGATTAGACCTATACAAACAGACAACTTTGTCAATGCTAAGGTTAAGACTGCTCGAGGTTCGGAGAGTTCAGTGTTTAAGTTCTCTTTCTCACTGATCTACCATTTTTCAATGTCTACGACTGGATTACACTATTACACATCTTGATGAAGGAAGAAAAAAAGTATGAACCAATTATTGCTCATATCAATATGATGTTGGTTTCGTACATCCATGAAGTGGTGAAGATGGATGTTGAAATTGTCACTGTGTTGCGAAAGAAACCAACAATCCTTCCCGAAGCTTCTACGAAATACATCGAGAAGATGAATATGGGGAAAATTGAAAAGGACAACTGAAGTGTGATGTTTCAACGAGGATCAAAAGAAAGAGGCAATATTCAGAAATGTATATTTGCTTTGCATGATAAACACCTGTTCTCCACTTCCTGCTTAAACTATGCTTTATAGATCGCAGGCAATGCAAGGCAAATAATGCAACTAAGAAAAAGTACTATTATGATATGACACGATGGTACATTGCAATTCCCAGTTCATTGCTCAATATCAATCCCAAGATATTCAATACACAAAAACGAACACAACCGGGAAGAGTCTCCTTCCTCATTTGACACAAAGGGGGAGATTGTTGGATCAAATGGATTACGTCAATTGTATTTATATTATTTAGTCCATTTTATGTAATGGGTTGGGTCTATCCACCCAATGTCTTTAATGATTATGGTTTAGCTATAAATAGTGCATGCATGTACCGTATCTACTGTCGATTCTCTTGTAACCCTACTTTGCCTTTACGGTAGCAATTATTTATTGAGTTCTTCAAAGGCAGAGATTATTAATCATTCGACACTATTTTGATCATTGTGTTCTTTGTTTATGATTCAATTACCCGTTTGAAATCTATCGATCTACACATCATTGTTCTAATGGAAACAAAACTGGAAGGGAAAGTCTCAAGTCGGTTCGTCAATTATTTTCCCTAAAAGAAAATCTAGTTCCGAAGCTCCCCGTGCCTGTGATCCAAAGGAGGCTACTTGCTTTTGCTGCCATGACAATGGGCATTGGAAGAGAAGCTACTCCAAGTACTATATATATATATATATATATATATATATATATATATATATATATATATATATATCTTTAATACAAAGCTACCCATTTATATAAATAAACTTTAACTAGTTTATTAAGATATAAATATAGCTTATAAATACTCATACTTTATGATAGATTTCATAAGCTGTTATTTCTCCAATAAATATTATTTCCAGAAATAATAAATTCTCAATTAGTGAAATATTATTTTCATGAAACAATAATTTTCCAATGAAATACAAGTGTTAATAAATTTATTAATAATCAAATTATACTGATAAATAACCAGTTGATGGTAACTTGCTATAAGGTGTGACCCTATAGGATCATATGTTATTAGCAATATTATTCTATAGGCATACATTATTATCTATGCACATGTTAATACCTCAAGTCATAAAACCAACATTTCAACAAAAAGCAACATGTTCCATAAAAAACTTCCTTTCAACATGAGAACATCATAAAATATCATACCAACATAAAACAACAAGTTACTTTTATCGAAGCCCTTTATCGATAACAAATTCTAAATATTACATCTTAAATCTCTTTTATATTCAAATCAACCGTTTATGGAAAAACTATTTTATTTTCCAAACCACTTCTACAAAACATTTTACTTGCTTCCTTATATAGAAAGAACATACCAAGTAGAAGCATACAAAAATCAATAAAACATTTCATTGAGAATTTGCAATCTATAGCATAGGCTCTCGGTAAACTCACATTAGTGCAATGCGGGTGATACTCCACACTTCTTATACTTCACCAAGCTTGTTCCTCCAACTCAACACCTAGTATCATTGTTACAAATTGTCAAAGACTAAGAATATATTTCTAAGGATTAACCCATCACTCTAAGTCTATAATAATCCTTAATTATCTAATTATAACTCATGGAAACCAAAAGGAACCAAAGGAATGGAATTGAACTCACAATTCAGGTTAAAAACGACAATCAAAATGAGTCTGCATAGAGAATACATCGAGACCCCTTCATGGTGCATCGTGGAATCGCTAACAGATTTCAAATTTTGCAACTTTTGCTTATTAAGTCATTTAACTTTCATATAACATCAAATCTAAAATAATGGACTCATAAGTTAAAATACGAAGCTTAATGAGCATATAGAACTTTAATTACACCGAATATCGTTATGTGTAAATATGGATTGTAGCCAAATGAGTTAATACCAATATATAACTTAAAACATATGAAATTTATAGAGACATTGAAGGTTAAAACTCAATCTACGATTAACATTGAGCTAAAAGCTTCTCATGGAATCTAAAGAAGGTTTTCTTCTTCAAAAACTCATTAGTTACCAAACCAAGCATGAATTTCCATCAAAATTTTAAAGTTGATGATTAAACTTCATGAGAACATAAAAAAAAAAAAAAAAAAAGCTTCATACTCATCATAAACTATGGATTTAATATCTATATTTCCTTGGGTTAGAAAACCCCAAATTATGACAAAAAATCAAGTAAATCCAAATGAGAGTATGAATTGTAATTCTGAAAATGGATCTAAAAACATTAGATAAACATGAAGCACTAAGAATCCCCCAATTAAATGACAAAATTTTGATTTCACCATTGATGGCAAAGAAACCCCCCCAAATCACACCCAAACTTCCCATATTGCGTAACTATTAGCGAGTTGAAGCTTAGATATGGATCTAGGAGTGAAATTAGAACATAAAACATCACAAATAAGACCTAGATTCGGATTTGAAAGATATATGGTTTGAAAATCCATTTAAACCACTCTAATAACCAAATCTACCAAGTATTTGCTAGTTGAAGATAAAAGATGCTTCTAGAAATGAAAACACAACATAAAACTCACGTGAACTAAATAATTGGTAGGGAGGTTCAGATCTACCACATCCATGATGTTCTAGAACAAAAATTAGAAGATAAAAATGGGAGAAACTACCAGTAACTACTTGAACTTGAGGGGATTTGACAAAGGCTTCAAACATGAACTTCAAGCATCATAACTCCATGGATTTAAGGTAAGAAAATGTCAATAGGGGGAGTATAGGGTTGATTTCATGATAGAGATGAGATTTTTAAGAAAGTGTAAGGTCACACCTTATGATCGATTGAGTCACACACCACACACTGACCACCAGTGCCAACATCAATGTCAGCACCAACACCAGTTCTTATTAACATCAACATGAACCAATGATCTTGTTGATCTTATGTATATTTGGCATTTATAGGTATATATAGATTATATGTATGACATGTAATCTTAGTGATTCGGACCAGACCATTACTTAGATAGGTATACATCCCTTAACTAGTGGTATTTCATTTATTGTAATCATATTTAATCAACATTAGGGTGAAACCCTAATGTAATTCTTGGTGACCGTCTTTGTGACCTCATTCTCTAGGTGAGAACATTCTTTCTTAGTGAAAGCACCTTTTTGATTACTTTTGTTCTTTTATTTTTATGTTTAATCTTTTTCTTAGTTTGTTTAGTTATTGTTATTCATACTTGAGCGTATCCGATCGATAGAAACTTTCAATTGGTATCAGAGCAGGTTTTCGATACACTCAAGTGATCATGTCCACATTCTATAATGCCAAGTCGTATGCTCTCAACAAAATCCTTGCTTTTGATGAACAAAACTTTCCTGCTTGGAAATCAAAGGCCATGGATGTTCTCAAAATCATGGACTATGACATGCTTGATATCATAAACAAGGGTCTCATCGTCTCTATACATCAGTTATCCAATGAAAATGCATATGTTAGTAAAGTAAAAAAGAAATCTATACCAGGATACATAAGGGAAGAAATAAGGATCGTAAATCTCAATGTAAAGGCGAGGATTTCTATTGAAAATTATTTCCATTTCATGTATATCGTTTGGTTCAAAGTTGCTCAACTACTCATGAGATGATGTTCACTCTATCATCCACCTTTGACAGAGAAGATCTCTCTGATAATGAAGTCTCAAAAGATAAGTATCACATGGCTCAAATCATCGAGTCTCCTTCTGAAGCACCATGGGACAGTGTTAGTACATTTGACTCTGACCTTTCTCAAGCTGCTACAAACTCTAAGTCTCAAGACTAGGACTCAGGCTCAACATATCAGGTAAAGAATTTCGTTAAATATTCTTCCACTGAAAGGGATGACATGTTTCATAATTTACATTTTGATATATCTATCTCTAATAAAGAAAAATCTTCTCTCAAAACATAGTTAAAAAATCTTAGAGAAGAACACAATGTTTTTGAGGACTCTCTTTCTCATTTAAAAAAGGAAAACACTTGTATCTCACTGACCAACAATTTTCTTCATGCTGAG